CAAGAAGTACAAGCGCGAGGAATTACGCACATAGAAACAAAAATCGTACAAAACGACCAAGTATAACCAGAGATACGGCCATTTCAAACACTAGACACATAAAAAGGCAGTCACACATCACAACTACAAGCCATCACAGCACGAACATAAAAAACACCACGGCACGCTCACGTCCAACGAGACACAACGTCGGATTGAGAAAACAACCGACCACATAAGACAAAGACATCATACAAAGGACCTTACAAAAATTTAGCAAAAATACCACATAAATACAGCAAAAATTAAAGCAAAATTACAAGAAATATACAAGTCCAGCCATAAAAAGACACAACGAGAGCCACCTAGGGAGCGACAGGTGCACACAGGGATCCCCACAGAGGGACCCCCGAGACGGTGCCTACCTACGACGAGCGCAGGCAGACACCGCCAAAGTGGCGCTGGATGTGGTCAGCGTTCATCTGATGGACCAGCGCCGCAAAGCGACCCTTCCATCGAGGAACAAAGGCCTCATCCAGCCCCGGCTGGTACACACCACGGGCCTCGGCGCAGCGGGCGAGCTGACCAAGCAGATCCACAAAGGAGGAGGCAAACCCACCGGTTGTCGTCATCGCCGCAGGGACGATCAGAGTTTTTCCATGGTTGAAACCGGTGTAGTAGTCGCGCTTCTCCTTTTCGGCTCGGCGAAGGGCAGCGCCCACCTTGATGCAGGCTTGCGAGGTGGTCGGGGGTTGGGCTGTGCGCACAGTCACGTCAATGCCCAGGTCGGGCAGAGCTGGGCCCAAGGCACCGCCGGGAAAGGGGTTGCGGCAGTGCAGGTCGATGCGGCAGCTCTGACCGTTGGCGTTGTAGCCAGACTTTTCCACCCAGACATGGGAGAGGGTGGCGTACCTGAGCAGGCGGCCCATCTCGTCGCGAAGGGCGTTGTGACGCTTGATGGGACGGCAGGTCAACAGGTGCTCGCGGGTCAGTCGCGGCTGAGGTGTCTTGCTGCTGCAGAGCGGGCACTTGTCCGTCGGCTTGACGTTGATGAGTTCATGGAGGCCAAAACCCATCATGGACACGACCGCAATGGCAAAGGTCGTGTCGCTCAAGCGACGCAACTTGTCCCGACCCCGCATGGTCAAGACAGTGCTGACG